GTGTCTGGGAGCAGGGCTCAGGGACACTCAAGGTGGGGCTGAGGGGCAGGCAGGCAGGCAGCAGGCTGGGAGGACTGGTCAGCGGTGCCCAGTGGCCCCCTGGGCAGACAGACCTCCTCCAGCTTCCACAGCCCTGCGAGGCGCACAGACTTCCCAGGGTGGCCGTTGATCCTGGGGGAGGAGGGAGGTGTGGGAGGAGGGTCTTCAGTGGGACAGGGGTGGGGGACAGGGCAGAAGCATGGCCAACATTCCACAGGGCAGTCACCACACCGCTCACCAGCCCCCACTCATATCCCAGGACACGTCTCCGTGCGCAGGAGCACGGCCTCTTCTGTCCCCACACTTGGGCACAGAGCCTGGACCTGGCCCCGCTCAGGCGTGCAAGAGCACTGCCCCAACAGGCTGCCCCCGCCCCACGGAAGCACAAGGCATCTCCTCGTCTGAAGGTCTCAAACTGCTCGTGGGAGCGTCCCACGTGTGGCACCTCCGTTTCCTCACAGACTGAAGCATCGTGGCCTGATGGGAACATGTAAACTCGCAGCCACAGACGCTTCCACCAGAGCGAACTGTCCCGGCCCTGCATGCGCTGCTGGCCCGGCTGGAGGCTGAAGCAAGCAGCTGTGGCGACGGCTGCCCATGGGCGAGGGGCTGTGGAGCGGGGCCTTGAGGGACAATTACTATTTCAGGAAATACGGTCATATGCCAGATTGCAATATAGAGGGATTCTGGGTGGGCTGGAGGCTGCGTCAAGTCCAACCTTGTAGTGGGCGTGCAGGACAAAGCCCTGGACAGGCCTCAGTGCCACCAGGCAGCAGGCTGAACAGCTAGAGAGGCTGGACAAGGCCAGCGACAAGGCCACCAATGAACAGAGGCCCAATGACTGGCAGGACGAGGTTGAGTGGAGGGACCCCACGTGTGGGCTGTGTCTGTGACCTGCAGAACAGTGAGCCTGGCCCTCAGTCCTGGGGCCTGTGCGCTGTGGCTGTGCCCACCTGCCCAAACTTGTGGATGCCCCCCTGAAGCTGGTGCTGGCATTGCAGTGGATAGAGGGGTCATAAGGCAAGAAATGTGGGCACTCGTGAGGGCTGGAAATGGCAGGGAGCCTGGTTCTACCCTAAAGCCCAGACAGGTGGGACGGATCAGGACTCTGACCCCCAGGGCTGAACTGAAGCATCCATACCAACACCCAGAATGCCGCCCTTTGTCCCAGCAGGGGTGGGACCTGAGTCACTACTCAAGCCATGTCTCCCGGGAATGGCTCCCAGATGGCCTACAACCAGAAGCTAAATCCCAGGGCAGCAGGCTGAGCAGCACACCTGCTGTGGAAAGCAGTGTGGCACCGCCTCCCCAAATGGGAACAGAAACACCAGGACCAGCCATCTCTCCGGGGGGACGCCGGGAGCAAACACGGAGCAAAACACGAGCAGAGAGAGATCCGTGCGGACCCAGGGTGCACGCAGCACTGTGCACAACAGCAAGAGCTGGGAACCCCCTCCGTGCCCGTCGATGGAGGGCTGGGCAGGTCAGCGCTGATGCACACAGACACTCCCACTGCGCACCGCTACAGAGTGGTGACGACGATGGGACCGTCCTCCACCTGCTGCCATGGACAAGGCACGGGGCTCTGTACGGAGAGAGCCAGCCGGTCCCACAAAGACAAATACTACATGACACCCCTGTTAGAGAGACTGAAGGAAAGGGTTTTCAGACGAAAAGAAACTAATAGACCACAGGGAGGAGGGGGAAAGAAAATTACAAATGAATGAACCAGGCCTCCCCCAGGCAGATAGGGGAGATGCCCCACACACGCTCAGTGTGGGGGGAGTGGTCTGCGCAGCGGGGCGGGTGCACCACGGACCTCACAGGAAACCCCAGAAGAGGCTGAGTGCTGTCAGCGGGGGCCCCTCTCTCCAGCCTGGGCTTGGGGCGCTGGCCCGTCCCTCCCTCGGACTTGCTCTGGGCGCCAGTGTCTCAGTGGCGCCCATGAAGGCGATGTAGATGAGGGAGGAGAAATGGGCAAAAAACTGGAGCATGAAGAATTTGACCGTGACCTTGCTCTGGAAATCTGAGAAGGTTCTGGGCCACTCTGGAAGAGATGCAGGCTGGTCCCAATCTGGCCAGTCCCCTGCTATATACTTGGAGAGATGTACAGCAGTACTACTGCCCCACAGGGCACTAGGCCTCAGTTCAGAGCACGGGGTGAGTTGGGTAAGGGGGCTTGGGGACTGCAGGAAGGGTCCACCCCACCTGCCCCAGAATCCTTGTCCAGGCCTCTGCCCAGACCCATCCCAGAAGCCTGTAGGGCCTGGACCAGGACAGGAGTGTGCTTACCATACTCACTGAGCTTCAGGGCCACACACCTGTTGATCTGCAAGTGGGTGGGGTGCAGAGGACAGGGCTCAGCCTGAACCTGGATGGTGCCTCACCCCCCCACCCCCTCTGCAGCCCACCTTGGTCATGATGACGATGGTCACATAGTGCACAAGGGCCCCCGAGACCACCACAGCGGTGGTCACATGCCCTGCCAGCAGGGGTGAGGCCCAGTGGCTGAAGAGGGCCGCAGCCAGGACACGGTAGACAACCAGGACGTGAGCCATGCCGATCATGACACAGATCTGGGGGGGCCGGGACCAGGTGAGGGGCGCTGGCGGTGCAGGGGCGACAGGAAGGGAGCGGCGCTGGAGGGCAGGGAGGAGTACCATGAAGAGAGACAGGAGGAGGACGACAGCGTTTCGCAGCAAGGAGTGCCATTGAAAGCTGCAGCGCCTCTGGGGGCAGCTCATCTTCATCATCATCATCTCCTCCTGCGGGATGCACACCAGACACTGCGCCTCAGCGCACACACGTGGCACCCACATGCTCAGACACGATGCACGCCTGGGTGTTGGCCATGGGCTTCTCACCTCATCCTGGTCCCAGCCACTCAGATTCCAGCGATGTGTCACACAGGCCTGCTTCCATTTCCAGACTTCCAGGAACACGGTGGCTGCAACCCAGGAGCAAGGAGCTGTCGTGACTGTCCCGGGTGGGTGTGGGAGTGGCCAGCGCCCTGTAGTGTGGGTGGGGGCTGAACACTCAGGACATCAGGGGCCCATGTCTCCCAAGGGCCGGCAGTGACTCACCCCAGAGAGCCATGAAGTTGGCAAACACCACGGTGCCCTCGTTGTCAAAGAGGTGGGTGAGCTGGGGGTGGGGCGGGGCGTCAGGTGCAGGCTGGGAGATTTCCAATACACCACACCCAGGAGGGGGACCAGGACCCCAGGCTGGTTCACTGGCATCCTGGCTGGGTCCCCCTCCCCCAGTGGCAGCCAACCTTGGCGAAGGTGCAGGTGTCTGAAAGCCGCTGGGCCTGGTGGAGGTGGTCTCCCTGGGGACACAGGATGATGTCGTGGGCCTCACAGATCTCCTTGCTGGTGGGCACAAGGGCAGAACTGGGGCCAGCTCCAGACACAGGCCCCTGACCCCCAGCCCCTCCTTGTGACCACAGCCTGGGCTCTAGGCCCCAGCCCAGCGCACCTGATTTGGCTGGCATTGAACAGGGCGAAGCCGCTCAGGAAGACTATGAGACCGGCCACTGCCGCGGGCACCAGCATCCACGTGTACCAGCTAAGCCAGGCGAAGTACAGTGCCACCTTCTCACCAAAGTAGTCCCTGAGGCGAGCAGGGACCGTCAGGACCCACCTCCTCAGGTGGGGGGATAGGTCAGGATGTGGGGGTCAAGGCCCACTTCCACAGGGGTGCGCACCAGGGGCAGAGGGATGGGACCAGGAATGTCAATATGTGGGAGAGAGGGGGTGGGGGTCTATCTACTGAAAGGCAGGTTCAATGTGGACACAGGTGTGTTACCTGATAGCATCGACCGGCTGCCTCTGGAACATATTTCTCCACTGGGCCCACTTCCTCAGTTTCTCCTCCGTCTTCAAGAGCTGTGGGCTCAGCCCACCTGCAGGTCCCTCTCCAGGCCCCTCCTGGGGGCCAGCCAGCATCGTGTGCAAGAAAAACCCGTCCTCAAAGACCCGGGCCTTCTTCAACTTACAGAAGTCCTCTGGGGGTTGCCGAGAGTGTGTGGGTCAGCACCGAGGCCCCCACAGGAAGCCGAAGTCCCCCACCCAAGGGCAGTCCCTCCTCACCGTCGTCAGTCTTTGCGCTGCCCTCGATGAAGGTGTAGATAAGGCGGATCCTGAGATTCAGGGGGCCAGGCTTAGGCCGGCTAGAGCCCAGCTGCCAGCCAGCATCCCCTCCCCAGCGGGGCCCTCCACCTGCCACCCCTGCGCTCTGCCCTCCCTGCGCTCCCCGCTCAGACTGCTCTCAGAACACCTGGCCAGCCTCTAACATGAGGCTGGGGTTCTCTCAGCCTCTCCCGACTGCCAGCCACACAGCTCCCGCCTTGGCGTTCCGTGTCCCCGGAAGGGACCCAGCCCATCTGTCCCTCAGAATCCCACCCCTGGGGTCCTATGTCCCCAGAGAAACCCTGGCCTGCCTGGCCTTCAGAACCTTGCCCTCCCCTGGAGGTCCCCAGCAACCTCATCAGGGAAACCAACCCCAAAAAAAGGAAAAAGGCCCGCAGAGAGGCGCCGCCCGCCCCCCAGACAACAACAAGACCCCCACACACAGGGCTAGCACCACCCACCGTGTGGTTTCTAGCGTGGAGTCCGTGGCGAGCTGGGCCTGGCGCGCAGGCCCCTCGGGCGCCATGAGCAGTTGGCAGTGCTGCAGGAAGGGCGTGTCCTTGGCTCGGATAGCGAAGTACTTCTTACGCTGGCACTGCATCTCCTGGAAACGGGCCGGGAGAGACCCTGGTCTTACCTCGGTACTTGCCCACCCACTCACCAGGCCACCTCCCCCAATGGCCTGGCCTCCAGGTAGCCCACCTTGTACTGGAAGCCCTTTCTGGCCAACTTCTCCAGCAGCTTGTGCAGGCGATCTTGCTTCTGGGGCTTCTGGTTGAGGCTGGTCACGAACACATAGTCCCAGGGCGGCCTGGTTGCGGTCAGGTGTGGAGAAGGGTGTTGGGCCTCCTCCGCTGGGCAGCGGGGCGCCCACAGGAGACAGGGAGATTGCATGGGTCCGACGGAGGTGGGCCCTTCCCGGGAGTGGCCAGGACAGTCCTCACAAGAGTGGATGCTGATCAGGGGGATGCTGTCCTCTGGGGCGGCCCCACTGCTGTCTTCACCCTGGAGGGATGGGTGGTGGGCAACAAAGTGGGCGTAGCCCGTGGAGTGGGTGGGAGATGGCCCCTCACTTCTCTATCCTGCACGGGACCCTCAGGGTTAGGGTTCCCCTGCACCCCCACTAAAGGGGGAAACAGGATACAAACACTCAGTCCAGGTGCAGGTGGGGTCCAGGCAGAGCTGCAGAGAGCAAGCTGGACAGTGGAGACGCAGGCTGGGTGCTCACAGGGAACACCCAAGGAGCCTGCCCATCCAGGCCAGCTACCAGTGGGGCCGGCACCCAAGGGGAGGGGAACAGCCCTTCCTGAACAGCCAAGTCCCAGGCTGTCCTCTGCCCCCGCCAACGCCCTGCTGGGGCTGGAGTACTGCCCACCAGGCGTGAGCTCTGTGGACAGTGCAGATGACACATGCTGACCTGGACACCCACAGCTGCTGGACTAACCGCCAGACGCAGAGCCAGGTGTGTGAAAACATGCAGCGTGCCCCCTCTGAGCCTGGGTGGTGTCCGCACCCTGCAGGTCCAGGGGGTGGGAAATGAGGCAGCACCTCCAGGAGGGGTCACAGGTCTCCCCATGCCTGCAACGTGGGTGGGCGTGCCCTCCAGGGCGGGGCTGAGCCTCCTTGGAACTGGGCTCAGTGGGCCCCTGTTCCGGAGGCACAACCTGTGGACCGCGGTGAGCCTAGTGCCAGCCGACGGGCAGCGTCACCAAGACATGTGTGGGCGTCTAGGAGGCACCAGAAGACCCCTCTCCCTGAGTTCCTCCTGGGCCCCCTCCCCCACCAACCCCCGCCTGGGCGGGGCCAAGGGTGGTCTTCTCAGCAGAGCTGAGGACTCTGGGGACAGAGGCCAGGCCTGAAGGCTGGGGGCCGGGATCAAGGTTAGTGGAGAGACTGGCCCTGCCCAGGCTGGGGCTTGGCTGAGGGGTCCCCTGGGTCTCAGTGTGGGGCAAGGGGCTGGGTGCACCTGGGGCTCTGTGGGGTGCGATGACATCTAAAATCCTACAGAGAAGAGCCGTCCAGGTGCCTCTCTGCTCATGACAGCAACCAGAGTATAAATCTTCTCTCCAGGGCTCCTGGGAAACCTGTACTCTTCAGGGAAGGGACACTTCAGGGCAGTAAGACCACACTGTGTGGGTGTTGGGGGAGGAGGACGGAGCTGATACCAAGGGCTCAATAGAAAGTCAATGTCTAGAAAAGAATGAGGGCTACACATGTACAAGTAGGCTGGATACAACTGATGTGTGGATTGTTCTAAGAGCTGTAAGAGGCCCCAATCAAATGATCTTTTAAGAGAAAAATTAACTGCCCTGCAGGCAAGGAGTGCAGCGGGCTGTGTGAGGGGAACAGAGAGTCACAGGACCTCCCTGCCAGTGGGGGCAGAGAGCTTCAAGGCATGAAGGGTGCTCTGGAATCTTTAGGGGACAGGGTGAGACAGGACATAGGGCTATCGGACAGACAGGGTCAACATGGGGGCAGGGTCAAGGTGGCCCTTGAGGGGGGTGCCATCGGAGCTTCCTCCTGCCCTTTCCTGCCTGTCCCCACTTCTCCCCCTTCAGCCAGATTCCAGCTGCCTCCTGGACGTGGGCAGCAGGTTTGGGTGCCGGTCCCAACTCCACCCCACCTGCACGCCCCACCCACCCACCCCCACTGCAGCCCTCTTCTTCTCTGCTGGCCATAGACTCTGTCAAAGCCTCCTGCCACCCAGCACCCCCAAGCCCCCACCCTGAGCAAGGACCTCCAGTCCAGCTGGCTCCAGTCTAGCTGGGTCTGTTCTTGGGCCTCCACACACCCCATCTTTGTTCCTGCTGGGCCCCCACCCATCAGGATTGCCCCTCCTCCCCAACCACATTCTTCTCTCAAGACTGCCTCCTCCTCCTCCTCTGGGAAGCCTCCCTTGACTGCCCTGGCCAGTTGGCCCAGCCAGGTAAAATGTAAGCCATCTAGTCTCCCTGGAAGTGCAGATAAACAACAGACACTTGTGAGCCTCAGTATGTCCTGCTGACAGACTTATGGATGTTTGCGTTGTCAATGAAACTCCGTGCGTCTGCATGTCCTGCCTGCGGGGTGTCTCCTTTAGGGTCCTAATCTGGCAGCCTTATGCCACCACCACCCGCCCCTCCCCCAGGCCCACCAGGACCCAGCCACCAAAACTAACCCACCCTCACTGCCCTGAAGGTGATTCCAACTCAGAGCAGCCTACGGCCCCTGTGGGGTTACAACTCTGCACAGGATCAGACGGCCTCATCCGCCTCCCTCTGAGTTGCGGGTGGTTTCAAACTGCTGACCTGTGGAGAACAGCCCAACTCACAGCCCACTACACTGCCAGGCTCCTTGTCCCAGCACGGAGGCAGGAAATCATCAAATGCAGCCAGAGAAAAGTGGGTCTCCTTGACACACACCCCCCACCCCGCCTGGAAGACAAGGTCCTCCTCAGGCCCCTGTGGCACCTGGGCTCTTCGGGCCCCGCCCCTTCAGGAGAGGTGGTGCCATCGCCAAGACCAGACAGGCAAGGCACGCAAAGCTGCCTTTCTCAGGCCCCAGACATCTTGCACACAAGGGCGTCCAGCCTACAGCCCCACAAATACCTGCAGGCAGGTGTGCTGGGCAGGGTCTGCATGGATCCTGGCCCAGAGAAGCCTGGATCAGCCCTGAGACCCCGGGAAGGGAGGGATCCTGACCCAGGGTGGCTGTGGTGACCAGCAGAGGGACCAGGGGCCTGGAAGACACCCAGCCTTCAGACACGCGCCTACGGAGGGGCCCACGAGGTGCCAAGGTGCCCAGGCAAAGGGTCAAATTGGCCTCCTGCTGACCAGACCAGAGGGACCTCAGACCCTAAAGGGTCCCTCCCACCTCTCCTTCCCCCACAGGGCGGGGCCTGGGAGCCAGGGTAGGTAAGTGCAAGGCTCTCAGGGGCCCAGACCACCCTGGACATTGCGATGGTGAGGGCAAAAGGGAGGAGGGGCCTCCCAGGCACCCAAAGAGTCGGGGGCTGCCCCCTAAAAGGCAGACCCTCCCCTACCCAGCACACCGGTACTTTGGGCCCTCATGGTCTGGCCCACTGTCCAGCCAAGCACAGTGCACTGGACACGGGTGTTCAGGCCCCTGTGTGTCTCCTTCCCTTGACTCTCCCTGACCACATGGCCCACCTCGGATACCTCCCTCATGCCAGCTGGCTCACCTGCAGGGCACTCCCTCCAAGAAGGGGCGTGTGCGTGTGCGTGCGTGCGTGCGTGCGTGCGTGTGTGTGTGTGTGTGTGTGTTATGTGTATGTGTGTGGTGTGTGAGTGTGTATGTATGTGTGGTGTGTGTTATGTGTATGTATCTGTGGTGTGCACATGTGTAGGTGCGTGAATGTGTGTGCATGAGGTTGTTATGTGTGTATGCAGTTGTTATGTGTGTGTGCGCATGTGTGTGTGTATGTTTGGTGTGTGTGTGTGTATTTGCGCGCATGTGTGAGTGTGTGCGTGTATGTGTTGTGTTTATGGCAGGGGTGGGGTGGGCAGAGTGACTCTCAGATAGCCCCCCAGCCCCCGGAGCAGAGGGTCAGTGAGAAGGCCTGTCAGGAGGTACGTTTGGCCGGTCACTGCAGGGAGAGCAGACAGGCTGGGAGCCTGGACCTTGGCCAGGGGCCATGAGAATCATGGGAGGCATTTGAGCAGCGAAAGGACATGGATTCAGCCAAGAGGTGAGGCCACCAAGGACACCCCACTGCCTGCCCCTGGCCCTGCCCCCGCACCTGTCCGAGGGCTGAGCCCCTCACCTCAGCCAACTCCACAGTCTCCTTCACACCAGCCCAGGCCTGGCTTAGGAGAAGGAGGCTAGCATGATGGGCTTGCTTGGGAGGGAGTGGTTTCAGGGGAGGGAATGGCATGGGAAGGGCTGGCAGGAGGAACCTGGGGGTGGGCAAAGGGCTGCCCACTCTCAGCCACCTCTGGGAACTGAGTGGGAGGCTGGTTTCACTGAGTCCAAGGGCTGTTCTAGGCCCAGCCCCAATGGCCTTGTCCCTGCAGAGGCCCTGACCAGGGGACAGAGGATGCTTCTCAGGGGTTCCTCCGGACACCCCATGAGAACCCCAGCCTCCTCCTGTTTCTCCAAGGCTCCCAGGAATCAGTACCCTCCCACCAAAGCCTCCTGCTCCTCTCCACAGTCTGGGTCCAGCAGCCCCTCTGGCAGGATCAGGACCCTGAGGCAGCACAGTGCCAATCCCCCAGCCCCAGCCCTCCTTGAGCCCTGACCCTTCCTTCTGTGTGCACCAGGGCAAAGTTACAAAGTGGGAGGGACCTTGGGGGGTAGGGGCAGGCCCAGGTTGGGCATACCCTGTCTGCATACTGAGGACCCTAGCAGGGCAACACGGGCCCCTCACTGAGAGCCAGGGTCCCCCAAAAGCTGCTGGAAAAGGAGAAGGCAGCTTCTGGCCCCCTGACTCTCAACCCTGCCTGCATGGCTCCAGGGAGCAGCTGGGTCATGTTGGGGCTGTGGGCACCCTACCCAGTACCATGCCCACCCGCAGTCCCAGGTGAAGTTCACGTGGGCACAC